TTTATTTTTAGGGGTATTGCAGTTTCTTGCATGTCACAGAGATACAAAGCTCAGTCAAAGCAGGCCAACAGTAACAGTAAGGATAGAATACATTTGAGGTCATAAATTTGATGACTTTTTGACTTGTGAATAACAAGTCTCTTCTTTTTTTTTCTTTAAAAAGGGTGATTATCCAAGAGGAACAAAATAACACAAGTTAAAAATAATATCCCCATTCAAATGTCAAAAAATAACTAAATTCATGGGCTTCCTTATCCAGTGCTGATGAGGTGGCTTTATCAAACTTTGAGGGTCGAAAAGGATAGAGGGTGTCGTATGCTGTACAGATTGTAAAGCCCCCTGAGGCAAATTTGTGTTATTGGGGGCGGTATATATAATATATATATAATAAGGCCTTTTTATACACAACTAAAAACAGGTTTCATCCCAGCATGCTCATGTACACAGTCACATTTAGGCACTGAATACATGGTGGTGTTTTAACTGAGTTGACCGAGGTTTGGTACAGAGGTACTGAAATGTCACTGAGGTTAAGTATGAGCTGTGAAGTCAGATGCTGAGCAGTCAAGGGCGTAATGACAACTTGGCAACTTTATCGTTTTGCAAGTGTAAGAAAAAGGTTGTTCACAGTGTTCTGCTCACAACAACGTTAATTATTCACAACACCATGATCCCAGAGAGTTTTAAGTAAATTGTGAGAAGAAAACAGAAAGCAAGCACTTCCTTCTCTTCCTGCTCCAATTGCAGTTCTTACCAGTCTGAAGTAACTGAACAATTGTAAGTGCAACATCTCCTTGATTACCTCGTGAGATGACTCGTCAAACACAGGGGACGGCGCTGCCCCGGCCAGCTCTCCGCCATTCCTGACATATACCAACCAACCTGTACAAGTTCAGTATGATCACCAGGAAGTTCTTAACAGTGAAGAACACCAGCATTTGGTGGAAGACGTTGAAGTAGGTCATGACGGTCAACCTGACCACCAGGAAAGGCCCGTCTTGGATAAACGAGGCCTCCACGATGCTCCAGATGTCCGTGCTGTACTTAGACAAGAGGGACACCTCGCTGGCCTCCTGCTCACCCTCACTGTCTGGATTGGATTTCACCACTTTTAAAAAATGGGGAGACAAACAAAAAACAGGACCTCAGACCTCAGACCTGTTGTATCGATTTCATTGTTTAGTTGGTTTAACTTGATTTAACCTGCTACTAAATGAACCTCACTATTCTCAACTGCTGTTGCCAAAGTCAAAAATTTACTTTTAATTAATTAACAGAAGTATAGCCATCAGGGGTGGGACTGGAGTAACAAATTACATTTACTCTTGACAATGTCGTTTTTTTAATACTTCTACTTTTTTGTTTATTTGTTATTTCAAGTATTGTAGCCTGCTTAGTTCTATCAAGTTGCATCCATTATAGAGTACAAAAGCCCCATAAAAAAGTGATAAGAGCTCAACAGATTTCACTCTCTGGAAATGATACATGTTGTAGTTTGAGCTCACTGGCCGAGTGGGGATGCGAATTGGTTAGCGGTTAGTGAATAGTACAAAACATTAACAACAATTTAATCAAACGCGAGTGAGTGCGCTAAGTGACCAAAATCAAACACGCCCACAATGTCGAGTGACCAGGTGCATGCTGCGTGTGGTTGTGGAGACAAAGGAACTATCACAGAAGCGGTTTTGAGTACTTTGCCATGTGTTAATGTCTGTGGATAGATTTTGTCAAGAGATAGAGTCACAACCGATGCATACTCTAAACTTCGAAGATGGGTGTGGTCCGAGCAAGCATTCAGGACGTAGGGGGTAGGAAGGATAATATTTTTACACAATACTTTTACTTTTCCTTCAGTAGATTTCATTAAAGTAACTTTAGTACAATATGTTAGTACTCCTTACATCCCTGATGAACATATTGCATCCGTCCGTCAACACTTTGTGTTTACACGGCATGCAAACATACTGGACATGACTGCATTAACTAACAAAAAGACACACATTACATTACATTACATTACAGTCATTTAGCAGACGCTTTTATCCAAAGCAACTTACAATAAGTGTATTCAACATCGGTTTTCGAGAGAACAACTAGTCACCAGAAGTAATAAGTGCATGTCCTTTCCTCAAACAAGCATCTAAGAGCATAAACCAGAGCCAACGTACAGTGCAGAAACAAACGAATGCAATAAGTGCCACAAACTAATATGAAAACGATAAGTGCAATAAGCTAGTATGAATACAATAGATGCTAAGGAAGTGCTAAGCGGAAGGCTCAGGGTAGGCCTTCTTGAAGAGGTGAGTTTTCAGCCTGCGCCGAAAGATGGCCAGCGACTCTGCCGTCCTGACGTCAGTGGGGAGTTCATTCCACCACTGAGGGGCCAGGACAGAAAACAGCCGCGACCGGGTCCATCGGCCGCAGGGACCTCTGAGCGACGGGGCAACCAGTCGCCCCGAGGTAGCAGAGCGAAGTGGTCGGGCGGGGGTGTAGGGCTTGACCATGGCCTGGAGATAGGAAGGAGCTGTTCCTTTCACTGCCCTGTAGGCTAGCACCAGAGTCTTAAACTGGATGCGAGCTCTTACAGGTAGCCAGTGTAGAGAACGGAGAAGGCAAGTTGTGTGGGAGAACTTGGGGTGATTGAACACCAGGCGAGCTGCAGCATTCTGTACAAGCTCCAGAGGTCTGATGGCCGACGCCGGGGCTCCGGCAAGTAGTGAGTTGCAGTAGTCCAGGCGGGAGATGACAAGAGCCTGGATTAGCACCTGTGCCGTCTCATCAGTGAGGAAGGGGCGAATCCTCCTGATGTTGTAGAGCAGGAATCTGCAGGAGCGTGTAACCGATGCCATGTTTGCTGAGAACGACAGTTGGTCGTCCAGGGTCACACCCAGGTTTCTCGCAGTCCGAGTTGGCGTCACCACGGTATCATCAATGGTGATGGACAGGTCTCGGTGCGGGCAACCCTTCCCCGGGAGGAACAGTAGCTCGGTTTTGTCCAGGTTGAGCTTGAGGTGGTGTGTCGTCATCCACTTCGAGATGTCAGCCAAGCACGCAGCGATGCGTGCCTCCACTTGAGTGTCCCCGGGGGGGAAATGACAAGACCAGCTGGGTGTCATCAGCATAACAATGGTAAGAGAAGTCATGCGAGTGAATAACAGAACCCAGAGATGTTGTGTAGAGCGAGAAGAGAAGGGGGCTCAGGACTGAGCCTTGCGGAACCCCCGTAGTCAGCATGCGTGGTTCCGACATGGCCCCCCTCCATGTTACCTGGTAGGATCGACCTGTCAGGTAGGATGCAAACAGGGAGAGTGCAGAGCCTGAGACGCCCATCCCCTCGAGGGTGGATAGGAGGATCTGGTGGTTAACAGTGTCAAACGCCGCAGACAGGTCCAGGAGAATCAGGACAGAGGAGAGAGAGTTAGCTCTCGCTGCGTGAAGTGACTCCGTCACCGCAAGGAGGGCTGTCTCAGTCGAGTGACCCACTTTGAACCCGGAATGGTGGGGGTCCAAGAGGTTGTTTTGGTGGAGATAGGAGGATAGTTGAGTAAAGACAGCACGTTCAAGTGTTTTGGAAAGAAAGGGTAGAAGAGAAACCGGTCTGAAGTTCTTGACATCAGAGGGGTCAAGTGATGGTTTTTTCAGAAGGGGGTGACTCTAGCAGTCTTGAAAGCCGTGGGAAAGCATCCTGAAACAAGAGATGTGTTGAGGAGGTGAGTGAGGAAAGGAAGGAGTTCAGTCGCAATAGACCGAAGAAGAGGGGATGGGATCGGGTCAAGGGAGCACGTGGTGGGGCGGTTAGATGTAACAAGGTTGAGGACCTCGTTAGGGGAGAGGGGAGCAAGATAGGGTAAGATGGGGCATGGAGAGGGGAGGGAGAGCTGTGGGGGAAGAGCTGGAAATGGTAGAGAGTGAGAGGGTGGACAGGGAGAGGGTGGAAAGGGGGGCTGAGAGAAGGAGGATCTGATATCGTTTACCTTCTTGTCAAAGAAGTTGGCGAAATCGTCAGGGAGAAGGGAGGAAGTAGGAGGAGGGGGAGGGGGTTGGAGGAGTGAAGAGAAAGTTTCAAAGAGTTTTTTAGGATTGGAAGCAGAGGTTAGGATTTTGGAGCGAAAGAAAGCAGCTTTAGCAGTAGAAAGAGCAGTGGAAAAAGTGGAAAGAAGAGCTTGGAAGTTAAGAAGGTCCCCCGGGAGTTTGCCTTTTCTCCATTTAGCCTCTCTTAGGCTCCGTCTGTCAGTACGCACTGAGTCCGACAGCCATGGGGCAGGTGGGGTTGGCCGTGCAGGCCTGGAGGTAAAGGGACAGAGGTTGTCCAAAGAAGAGGAAAGGGTGGAGAGGAGAAGATCAGTAACAATATCAGGGGATAGGAGAGAGAAGGATTCAGGGTCAGGGAGAGCAGAGGTAACAGAAGAGGAAAGATCAGCCGGGGAGAGGGAGCGGAGATGACTACGGGTAGAAACCATGTGGGTAGGTGGTGGAAGTACGGGGGGAGAGGAGAGGGAGACGGAGTAAGACATGAAAAAGTGGTCAGAGAGCTGGAGGGGAGTGACGGAGAGGTTAGCAGTAGAACAGTGTCTAGTGAAAATAAGATCCAGCTGGTTGCCGGCATTGTGGGTAGGAGGAGAAGAGGAGTGGAAAAGGTCAAAGGAGGAGAGGAAGGAAAGAAGCGGTTCTAATTTATCAGTCTGGATGTTAAAGTCTCCGAGCAGGATGAGTGCGGAGCCATCATCATGGAAGTGCGAGACTAATGTGTCGAGATCTTCCAAGAACTCACCAAGAGGCCCCCATGTGAGCGGACACAAACACAAACTGAACACACAGAAATAAAAGCAGCTTCCTTTGAGAACACAACAGAAAACTTTGCAGTCAAGCTCTGAGTGCTCTAAATGCATTATGACGGTAAAGCTATACATTAAAGTATCTCTATGAAGAACCTCAACATCCATTTGTAAGATATTTAATGTTTGGGTTATGAATAATTGAGATCATTACTGGGGTTGTCCTTTCCAAGAACAAAGTAACGCGGTTTCTAATCACGTTATAATGTTCTTTCTATCTGTCTTTAATGAAACACCATCCTTTGTTCCCTCAGATTTGAGAAGACGGGTTTACATCCTTTTATCTGTTCAGAGTAGTAAGTTGCCGAAAGACATCTGCTAGTACAAAAAATTCAATCAAACACCAGCGGCGCCCTCAGTGACCAAAATCAAACACGCCCACAATGTCGAGTGACCAGGTGCATGCTGCATGATCGAGCAAATATGCTAAATGGGTTTTTTTTGTCATCATGGCAGAACGTGGTTGTGGAGACAACGTAGCAGAACTATCACAGAAGCGGTTTTGAGTACTTTGCCATGTGTTTATGTCTGTGGACAGATTTTGTCACGAGCGAGAGTCACAACCGTGCAAGATGCATTCTCTAAACTTTACAGGTGTTTAGTTGAGATCAAAATGAATAACGAGTTTGAAGATGGTTGTGGTCCGAGCAAGCATGCAGGACGTAGGAGGTAGGAAGGGATGGCCCCCCTTCCGCACTTCACGCCCCTGGCACAATTTAGCATCACGGTTGTTTTGATGGTCTTTAGTTTATTTTACTGTTAATTCTAGAATTCTAGAAGAAAAGTCAGTTTATTTAATTTATGTAGCTTGATAATGCTTGTTGCTCCTGTCGTAGTGTTTTTTTACATTGAACATTTTCCTCTTTTCTGGTTCATTTCAATCCCTTTGAATACATATTTACACAATATACCTTTCCTTCAGTAAATTTCATTAAAGTAACTTTAGTACAATATTCTAATACTCCTTCCATCCCTGATGAACATGTTGCATCTGTCTGTCAACACTTTGTGTTTACACGGCATGCAAACATACTGGACATGACTGCACTAACTAACAAAAAGACACACCCATGTGAGTGGACACAAACACAAACTGAAGGAAAAGCAGCTTCCTTTGTGAACACAGCAGACAACTTTGCATTCAAGCTCTGAGTGCTCGAAATGCATTATGACGGTAAAGCTATACATGAAAGTATCACTAAAAAGAACCTCAACATCCATTTGTAAATTGTTTAATGTTGGGTTATGAATAATTGAGATCATTACTGAGGTTGTCCTTTCCTATAACAAAGTAACGCTATAATGTTCTTTCTCAGAAGAGAGGTGGTGGGATTGCAATGTATGTGAACGAGAGGTGGTGCAATCCCGGCCATGTGTGTGTGAAGCAACGTTTCTGGATGGTGTCCACTGCTGTCTCTGCGTCAGCTGATGGAGGAACGTACACGGCGACAACAATGGCGGATGAGAACTCCCTCGGCAAATAATTAGGATTTATCCCCACGGCTAAAAGTTCAATGTCCGGGCTCCACTCCACTGTGTCTAAACTGCAGATTCAACACCCTGGTGCATTTTTGGCAATTACTGGAGACTTTAACCACACCACACTGGATAAAGCACTGCCAATTTTTCACCAGTATGTTAACTGCCCCACACGCAACAATAAAACTCTGGACCTACTGTATGCTAATGCCATGGTAGATCTGATCACAACTTGGTCCTGTTAACACCAAAGTATTTTCCTCTGGTGCAGAGGCAGCCTGTAAAAGGTGGACACAGGAAGCTAATGACGCCCTGCAGGACTGCTTTGAGTTGACAGACTGGGATCTGCTGTGTGGACCACATGGGGAGGACATTAACAGCATGACAGACTGTCACAGAATACATTAAATTCTGTGAACACACCACCATACCATCCCGGACTGTACACTGCTCGGGTCGGGTGTATAAGGGACGGATGAGAGGAGGAGTACAGGGCAGTAGTGGATGACTTTGTGGAGTGGGCTGGTAGAAATCACCTGCTTCTGAACATGGCCAAGACCAGAGAGATGGTGGTCGACTTCAGGACGAAGACGACGGCTCCACAACTGCTGAGAGTTCTGGGAGAGGATGTGGACATGGTGGAGGAGTACAAGTTCCTGGGTGTCTCCATCGACAACAGACTGAACTGAAAGACCAACATCAACGCTGTGTACAAGAAGGGGATGAGTCGACTCTTTTTCTTGAGGAAACTTCGATCCTTCAACTTGTGCAGCAAGATGTTGGAGATGTTCTATCGGTCTGTTGTGGCCAGTGCACTGTACTTCTCCGTAGTCTGCTGGGGGAACAGCATTGGAGCCGGAAACACCAACAGACTTAACAAACTGGTTAAGAAGGCCGGCTCCATCATTGGCTGGAAACTGGACATTCTGGAAAAGGTGGTGGAGAGGAGGACACTGAAGCAATTATTATACATATTTGATAACCCGGACCACCCTCTCCACCACCTACTGCAGGGACAGCGGAGCACTTTCTCCAACAGACTCATCCAGCTCCGCTGTCACAAGGACAGATACAGGAGAACTTTCCTGCCCACTGCAATACGACTCCACAATAAATCACCTCTGGCCAAATCATTCACACAACTATAACACCGTTACACTGTTGTTTGTTTGTTTGGTTAAATCTTTGCACTATTGTTTAGTTAGTTAATTTTAATATTATTCGATTTCATTGTATATATTGTGCATTTTTATATTTAATATTTGTTATTTTTATTGTATATATTGTGCATTTTTATATGTGCATTTTTTATATTTTATATTTTTTACTCTGTTATTTGTATTGCTTTACCTGTACCATAAATGCTGCTGTAGCAAAAATAAACAAAGTAACTATCTATCTATCTTTCTGTCTTTCATGAAACGTAATCATTTGTTCCCTCAGATTTGAGAAGGCGGGTTTACATCCTTTTCTCTGCTCAGCGTAGTAAGTTGCCGAAAGACATCTGCTAGTTGGGCCGTGCCTGATAATGGCTGATTCCTCTTATCTTAAGTTCAGATCTGGAGACTTTGTCGGTCCAAAGCTGTTTATGTAATAGATGTGTGAGACTGGATTTCCTCCTAAAGACTGTCAATATTTATACAAACTCCTTAAATACACCCTTCCTGTTAGTGATTTAATAACTGCTTAATAAGCAGCAAAGTTATTTGTTTAAGACACAAACACACACTGACCAGACACATGTAGGGGGAACTGCAGCATGCTCCAAGTCCATACAGCTAAGACGATGTAGACCAGCTGATGATTGTCCTCTCTGGAAAAGACACATAGAAAACACAGTCAAAGTCAGTCCCTATAGTTTCAATACATGTCAATGGGAAGCTGCTTTTACTAGTTAATGCATTGATGTAATGTCATAATTTGGCGACACAGATTATGTAATCTTGCCTTAAAAGTGCTTAAATTCCCGACCTCTGTGTCTATTGTTTGTACATGTGTGTGAACATAGTTATATGCAATGCATGATTAGCCACCCACTTGACATCTGACAGCGTCTCACTGCTAAATTCGAGGATGTCTGCTGCAGTGCCAACAAAAATTAGGAGAAGCTGCGAGAGCTCCTCACGCGTGACTCCACCTCCCAGCGGGAGGAGCCACTTCCCCACGATGAGGAGGAGGAGCAGGATCTGATGAAGAGCCAGGGTCCATTCTTTGGAACAGACAGTTGATAACACCTGGTTAAAATTATTGAAAAGGAAAAGAGATTGAGAGTTATTTCTCTGTCAGAAACTTAATGGTTTGCATCC